CTCTAAAGAATGCAATCTCTGGTTAATTTCATCCAATCTAGGCCCTGTTTTCTCAAGAGCAAACCCCAAGGCTTTAGACTTCTCCAAGCTTAGCTTCAATGACTTCCTTGCAACTATCAAATTCTGAGTATGATCTTCATCATCGCCATTATCATTGACGAAGCCCATTACAATTTCCCAAATTCTCTAACTTAAACTCAATTGTAAAACATCAAAAAGCTTTGGATTTTGAATCTCGCTCAATTATTAAAATAATAAGCTGAAAAGCTAGGCAGAATCAATTTTGATTTGTTTAACTAAGAATGATCTTATGATCGTGTAGCTTAATTATTTGAAAAATGATAATGAAATCAACCTGGACTTTTGATCGTATTGTCTTTGTGTGTTTCTTTAAAAAAAAAAAAAGAAAACGGTCAAAAAACAACGAAGAAAAAGTTGACTTTTCTATCAAACTTGATCTTCTTTGCCAAAACAAACAAATAAAATATTTAAAACTAGTTTGACGAAAATTAGTAGGTTATGAAATGTACCTGAGGTCTTATCATTTTGATCCGTATATTTAATAATAACATTTCATCAAGGAATAATATTTTTCACCGTCTTTTTCAAATATGATTAGATATTATAAAGATTCCATTTTCGCACTAAATTCCATAATCTGGTTTTCTTCAAATCATAAACATCTTGATTGTTAACCAATTGTTAACTATCAGAAATTGAAGATTGAGAGGATGGAGAGAATTGAGAATTCTAGAATTAAGAGAATTTGAAAGTTAAGCATTTTGCTAGAATTAATTGGGGATATATATATTAGAAGAGGAATAATCATATTTGGATAAGGATAGTGAGAATCCTATGTCATCAATTAGTTAGAGTTTATTTATAAATCTAATATCCTTCAATATATGTATGTATTTATATATTACTCTTTATATATTTTATTATTGTATAATATCAGTCGTCCATTGAAAAATGTTGGTCATCTATGTCCAACACATGTTATAATTTGATTAAGCGTCGTAGATGAGCTGATTAAGCGTCGTAGATGAGCTGTTTAAGCTCAAGCGTGTGGACTGCATAAGTTCGAACTAGGTGACCTGTTTAAGCTCGAACGTGTGGACTACTTAAGTCCGAACTAGGTGAGCGCTTAAGCTCAAATGTGTGGACTGCTTAAATACGAACTAGGTGAGCTGTTTAAGTCCAAACTAGGTGAGCTACTTAAGCTCAAACGTCTGGTTTGAACTAGGCAAGAGCTTAAGCTCAAACGTGTGGACTACTTAAATACGAACTAGGTGAGCGCTTAAGCTCGCTCGAACATGTGGACTGCTTAATTCCGAACTAGGTTAGCAGCTTAAACTCAAACGTGTGGACCGCTTAAGTCCGAACTAAGTAAGTGCTTAAGCTCGAACGTGTGGACTGCTTAAGTCTGAACTAGGTGAGCGCTTAAGCTCGAACGTGTGGACTGCTTAAGCAGTAATATTTCTTTTAAAACTTGAAGCCATTAATTAACCAATCAAGAAACTAAAAATAATTAATTAATTCATGCATTAAGTCATAAAACTATTTTTTGGTTTGATTGTACTCATCCTTGTTACTTGTTTCCAAGAATACCATGAAGTTGAATGACAAATGAACAATTGTTCAAACCATGAAGCTTTGTATGAAACCCTCAAAGCAGTCAGAGAAATATAGTAATTAAATAAACATATTGGTGATTAAATCCGTGATGACCACATTTCAGGAGTTTGACTTATAATATTTTATATAGCTCAATGACAAGACAATATAGCTCAATGACAAGACAATGTTACCAAGCGCATATGTTTGCAAGATTACTGGATTTGGAAAATCGATTATGTTGTTTTATGAAAGGTATGTTCTACGCTCACCACAGTATTTGTTAACCAATTGTTAACTATCAGAAATTGAGGATTGAGAGAATCGAGAATTCTAAGAATTGAGAGAATTGAGCATTCTAGAATTGAGAGAATTTGAGAGTTAGGCCTTTTGCTATAATTAATTGGGGATATATATTTTTTTTTTTTTTTTTTTCTTTCAAACCATGAAGCTTTGATGAGAACCCTCAAAGACAGTCAGAGAAATATAGTAATAAATAAACATATTGGTGATTAAATCCGCTTTTTGATGACCACATTTCAGGAGCTTTGACTTATAATATTTATATAGGGCTCAATGACAAGACAATATAGCTCAATGACAAGACAATGTTACCAAGCTCATATGGTTTGCAAGATTACTGGAATTTTGGAAAAATCGATTATGTTTGTTTTATGAAAGGTATGTTCTACGCTCACCACAGTATTTGTTAACCAATTCGTTAAACTATCAGAAATTGAGGATTGAGAGAATTCGAGGAATTCTAAAGAGATTGAGAGAATCGAGAATTCTAAGAATTGAGAGAATTGAGCATTCTAGAATTGAGAGAATTTGAGAGTTAGGCCTTTTGCTATAATTAATTGGGGATATATATATTAGAAGAGGAATAATCATATTTGTTCAAACCATGAGGCTTTCTATGAAACCCTCAAAGCAGTCAGAGAAATATAGTAATTAAATAAACATATTGGTGATTAAATCCGTGATGACCACATTCCAGGAGTTTGACTTATAATATTTTATATAGCTCAATGACAAGACAATATAGCTCAATGACAAGACAATGTTACCAAGCGCATATGTTTGCAAGAATACTGGATTTGGAAAATGGATTATGTTGTTTTATGAAAAGTATGTTCCATGCTCACCACAGTATTTGTTAACCAATTGTTAACTATCAGAAATTAAGGATTGAGAGAATCGAGAATTCTAAGAATTGAGAGAATTGAGCATTCTAGAATTGAGAGAATTTGAGAGTTAGGCCTTTTGCTATAATTAATTGGGGATATATATAGTAGAAGAGGAATAATCATATTTGTTCAAACCATGAGGCCTTGTATGAAACCCTCAAAGCAGTCAGAGAAATATAGTAATTAAATAAACATATTGGTGATTAAATCCGTGATGTTGGTGATTAAATCCGTGATGACCACATTTTAGGAGTTTGACTTATAATATTTTATATAGCTCAATGACAAGACAATATAGCTCAATGACAAGACAATGTTACCAAGCGCATATGTTTGCAAGATTACTGGATTTGGAAAATCGATTATGTTGTTTTATGAAAAGTATGTTCCACGCTCACCACAGTATTTGTTAACCAATCGTTAACTATCAGAAATTGATGATTGAGAGAATCGAGAATTCTAAGAATTGAGAGAATTGAGCATTCTAGAATTGAGAGAATTTGAGAGTTAGGCCTTTTGCTATAATTAATTGGGGATATATATTATAATTGGATATATATATTAGAAGAGGAATAATCATATTTGGTTGGGGATATATATATTAGAAGAGGAATAATCATATTTGGATAAGGATAGTGGAAATCCTATATTGTCTATTAGTTAAAGTTTATTTGTAAATCTAATATCCTTCAATATACATATATCTTTATATATTACTCTTTATATATTTTATCATTGTATATTATCATTCATCATTGCCCTTCTTTTCTTATCTTATGGTTGCTTTTTTTATTATTCTAAAAAATTAAACTTTGATCCAGCATATATAGATTTTGGTTTTTTTTTTTTTTTTTTTTTAAAGAATAGAAGAAATGGAGCTATATACCATAAATTGTGGAATTGCAGCAACTTCAATTTATTCATTTAAATTCCAAAAATCCATGGAATTAACTACCATACCATACGGGTAAACCTTAATTATTCATCTTATATCTTATATTTATAAATATAGAAGTGCTCTTCTCAATAGCAATTAAATGTGCAGAGAATGCAGCTATTATTCATTATTCTTGTTGTCGTTTCTTCTTTTCCTCCTCTGATTCAAGAAGCTCCTCCAAAACCATATCATCCAAATATTCAAACTCAAGCACTTGTTTCTCTTGCCTACTCGAACCGGAACTTCCTCTCTGGGAACCCATCTCCATTGCACCACTAAAAGAAGAAGATGAAGACTGATGAGGAGAAGATGATGATGCGATAACTTGAGAATAGTATTCATTAGGAAAATTAAGGATTGCAAGATGACCTTTCATGCTAAATGCAGCTCTATCATAAGCATGCGCTGCCTCCTCCGCATGTCAAATGTTCCTGTCATTAAAGTAGAAGAGATGGGAAAGGATTTGTCCAAATTATATTAAAGCACTTTATTTGGGGCCTTAGATTCAGTTAGATTTCCATGGTTAAAGTAGGAGAAAGAGTTTAAATTTTAAATTCAATTTCAATTTCCCTCATCTACCCAAATAAAAAATTGTTAAGGGCATTATTGAAATTCCATATATAGAGATTCTTATTGTGTCAGGCGCAAGTTTAGCTAAATATGTTTGTTATTATTCTTATCATATGTTTCGATTTTTGTCTTTTTTCACACATTACAGCAAATTCACGAGAGTATTGGCCTCTCTCCTATGTATTTCAAGGTGATATCATAACTCTTTTTATTCATTTCCTTTAGTTTCAGATTTAGTTCATTGCAAGTTGGTCACTTGATTGATCATTCAAGGATCTATCGGAGAAAATGAGTTGATTGATGAAATCTTCTAAATTAAAAGTGTGGAGAGAGAAAGGAGAAAGAGGATATTATTTATTTCAAAGTCATTAATGTTATTTCATGACCATTTAATGTGTAAATTAATAAAAAATGGAGGAAAGAAGAGGATAGTGTAATGGACAAAAAAATTGAGAATATAGCTGCCTATTTTTAAAAAGACAAGGGTAAAGTACCTTTTTTTACAAAAATTTTTTATAAAATATAGAGATACAATTATAATTTTCCCTTTGTAAACTTAAATTCTCATTTGCCCAAACAAAACTCATAACAGTTTAAAAATTAATTGATGAAATATTTCAAAATCATTATTTATGCTATAAGAGATTTTTAAAAATATAATGTCATATGAGTATAAGCCCATAACAGCATTGTCAATGGTTTTTCTTGTTTAATCTACACAGGAAGCAAGCATACACTTAAGATGATAATTTTTCCTCAGTTTCATATGCTAAAATTTTGCAATATTACATGAGACACCCTACTAAAGCTGAAGATGGAAGTGAAAATTGGAACTTGTACAACAAAAATGAAAAGAAAAAAAAAATATCAGTAAACCAGTTGTGTTTCAAAGTCTGCAAAATCAACAGATCCAGATTCAATTGGTGGCATCATATAAGCAGCAAAGATTTCAGAAACCAAAGCTGCAACAAGTGGAATCCTCTTCAAGTTCTTCACTAACGGAATGTCTTCGGTCTCCCCAACAGCAAGCAGCTTCTCATTAATCTCAACCATTCGGTCCAACTTCCTCTTGAACTCAGGATTCTCAACATCCAGTACTGCTGGGAAGATTCTAGCAGTTGTACGGTTTGTCTGCACAAAGAAAATTTCACACAACAATCTTTAATCACTCAGAAAATGTAACAGAGTTGAACTAATTCCTTTTTTCTTAGTCTTCTTAGTACTGGTATGTTCTCCAAAGTACATATAGTTCAATGAAATGGGAAAATTTTGCCTAGTCTATAGGAGCGGGAGAATGTTAATAAGGAAAACTTATGCAAAATAGTATGAGGAATTGATATTGAAGATCTCACTTCTCGTTTGGTCGGGGAGAATGTTAATAAGTTCCGAGTTCATTTCTGAGGTCAAATCAGCAGCACAAAGCAGAATTAACCTCGAATCTTTTGAAACTTTTGTCGATATTTTTTAATCGTTTTGTCTTTAATTTGAGCCAGAAAATGCAAGTTAACGATATTCATAATCATGCCCAAGGAAGAAAGGCACAGAAACTCAGCCTCACCTCAATAATAACATGCATATCGAATTCTTTGGTGTCTAATCCAATACCCTCATAGAAAGCTGTTCGCTGGCAATCATTGAGGTACATTGTCACATAGACCTGCAAAATCAATTCTCAAAGGTTTTAAGAGGGAGAAATTATGAACCATATTAATCTTATGTTAATTCTAGTATAATGTTCTTTGGTTGACAGGTGATGTATCAAGAAAAACAAACATTTTGACATTAAATAGCACATAATTTTGGATATCAGTTCTCAAAAAGTAAATAGCACATACATAAACAAGAAATTCAAATTTTCACTTGAGTCCAGTTATCAGCCATTATTGACATTAAATTAACACCCAAGTAATAAAAAGAGGGAAAAAAAGAGATTTAAGTTAGGGACATAAAGCACCAAGTCTTGCAGACGAGTGGCAATATAGAAACACCAAATAGGAATTTAGACATGGTAGGACTTTGGAAAAAGCTTATAAGGGTATAATGTATAAGTCGGGGATTACCGATAAGCAGAAGAATCTAGACCACAACTTAGCTTTCCAATCATTGAGGAATTGGGGCTGCGCCTTCATCAATGCAGAGAAGAAATCTCCATGCCTGTTCTCATCTTGGCACCAATTCTCAAAGTACTTGAAAATGGGATAACACTGGTACTCTGGATTTTCCTTCAGATGTCTATAAATGGTTATGTATCTCCAGTATCCAATTTTTTCAGATAGATATGTAGCATAGAAAATGAACTTTGGCTTGAAGAAAGTGTATTTTCTAGCTTTTGTCAAGAACCCCAAGTCCAATGCCAGATTGAAATCAGACAAACCCTTGTTCAAAAATCTGCAAACCAAGTAACACAGCAATACTATCATCTAATTGGTAGCTGAAATTCTTTGCAAAGAATGATTTTCAAAAATTCTTTAGAACTTATGGCTGGAATGAAAGAGGAAAAGAAAGAAAAACACGTACCCAGCATGCCTAGCTTCATCCCTAGACATTAAAGAGAAAATCTCTGCTACCACTGGATTGGTTTTCTACAGCATCAGTTAATAAACTAATTAGCAACTATGTCACACACCAAGAAAATGTCAAATTTAATAAATAAACAAAAGTTACACGTCTAGAATTTACCTTGAGTCTCCTTCCAAGCTCTTTGTAAAGAAGGAAACCAGAGAACTCAGCGGTGCAAGACCTTTCCAAGAATTCAACAAAGATCTGTCTCAAAGGCCCTTCTATCTTATCAGCAGCTTCCTTAAACTCCTTGTTCCTGACAAAGTGGGTCTGATTATAATCAGTCTTGAATTCTTGAAGCAGTGCTTCAAATTCAGATTGGTTGAGATTCTTGTTGATTTCAGTATTGAAAAGGGTTTCCATCTCATCAAAATCGGTGGTGTAGAATCTTGGTGTCAAGAGAGTCTCTTTAATGGCAGTTTTGTTAGCTTTCTTCTTGGTTGGCTTTGGGCTGGTTGGCTGTGCAGTGGCCGACATTTTAACGGTAGTGAATTTGAAGGAAGAGAATGTTGGTCTTGGGCTCCCAAATTTCGGGGTGCTAAACTTAGAGATGGGTTTCACGAGGGCCATCTCTGCTGCCATTTTTGCTCTGGTTTGGTGCTTTCAGCTGAGAACTGAGGGACTAAACAAAGTGATGGATAGGACGTAGGATTTATAATTGGTTGACAGTGGATTCAATCTCATCCACTGAAATCTATGAGTTGAAATGGGAATTTGACACGTGGCGTCCTTTTATTGGCCTGCCTTGATTGCTTCGAGTAGTTTGTGATAACTGATAATGCCATTTGGGCAATGGCTTTGTGGTCTTAGTTTCACTGAAATGGATTCTTCTTTCTGAATCTTTTTTTTTTCGTTAATTAATCTCTCATCTTTCTCTGCAGGTATAACATACACTCTGTAATAGACCAAGCTAAAGGGTGAGCATTAGTCGGAGCTAATAGAAAAATCAACCCGAGAACTGACCAATTCGATACGAGTCAACCCAATTTTTTAAGGATTTTTTGAGAGAAAATTATTATTTTATCCTTGTATTATATTAAAATACATAGTTTTGCCATTTTAAAAAATATATAGTCTTGTCCTTGTCTTTTGTCGTCATTGAGCGTTTATACTCTTTTGTTAATTCTTTTGTACTTTTCACATTAGATACAAGGATAACTTAGTTAATTTTGGCAAACTATATGAACAAAATAATTAATAAATATATGGATAAATTAGTTAATTTTGATAAAATATAGCGACAAAATAGTTATTTATTGATGATAAAAATATAAAAAATTGATAGAAGGATTTAACAGTGTGATGAAAGCAAAAAAATGGGGATAAAATTATGTAGTTCTAAAAATGCAAGGGCGATATTATATATTATGGTAAAATACAGGGATAAAATCATAATTTTTATATTTTTTAATAGGAGTAACAAATGGTTTTGGTCATTGAACTTAATTTCATGAATAGGCACTCAATTTTTCACTAAATTTCTTACTAATCACCTATATTATTCAATTTATTAAGTTACATAAATGATCAGTTCAGTTTTGATCAAAAATTGAATAAATTGAAATTTTTTAAGACCTAAATCAAATTGAATCGACAATTTTTTATAGGTAGATCAATTTCAATTCATATTTCTATTCTGTTTATTTTTTTATTTTGACTTATTTCTAGGAATAATTTGATTTGATTTTTGATTAGTTTTTTTTTATATCACAGGTGTCCTAATACATTAGATCAGAACTAATTTTACATACTTCATCAGACTCATAAAGAAAAAACACATTTAGCGAGGACACCAAAAAAAGAAATAAAATAAAAATAAAAAATGATTATGTTGCACCAAAACTAAAATCGAATTAAGTACTTCAAAATCAAATCAAACTGACTGTTTTGGTTCTACATTTAATCGATTTTTGCTCAGCCCTACAATTTATTGCAAAATATCTAGTTTGATTTAGAATTCTTACTAGTGGCTACAACGAGTCATAACCTATTTAGGCTGCTCGGTAATAGCTTTTTAAGTACCTCCAGTCAAAATGTTAAACTCTTTTTTTTTTTATAGTGTTCGGTAATATATTGAATTAATTTTTAAATGTTAAAATAGTGTTTTATAAAAAGTTAATTCGTTTAGCTTTTAGCATTTCATAAAATATTACTCAAATAGTTAATAGTTAAACGCTACTAAAACAGCTAATAATTACCAAAACAATTAATTTTATCGAACAATCATTTAACCGGTTGCAAGTATTAATGGAAAAAAAAAAAAAAAATCTCTTTTGACACACCCCCTCTCTTTTTCTACTCGAAAACATATCTCTTAAACATTTCGTCAAACAATCTCTTTGCAATTCTCAAATTTTCACAATAAATCAAATTTGGCAAACAACCAATAACTTAGCACCTAATGATAATCTGATTTGACTACATTAACTGATAGTAGCAAGTTTCATTAGAGCACTAACAATGTCTACATTGTTAGTTTCAAGAGCCTTAACTTCCTTCCTTCTTGAAACTTCAAGTCATTAACTAACTATTCTTGAAAAGATTATGGCTATATTGAGCAATAATTTTTTTAAATAGCTTTTAGTGCTTCGATTAGTGCTATCTTTTATAATATTCGGTAACATAGCATTTGAACTAAATTTTAAGATTGAAATATTATTGAATAAAAAATTAATTCATATAATATTTAGTTTTTAACGTTTTATGAAAACTGCTGCTTCATAATTAAAATTAGTTTTCAACGTTTTATGAAAACTGCTTCAGATTTAAAATGAGTCCCATGTGAATTGTGAACCAACTCAATAATAGAAAATGAACATGTGGACAAAAACTCATGTTCAAGCTTGTAAATAAACTATAATTTTTAATAAGCTTGTAAATAGATGAGTTGAGCTCCTTGTTTCCAAGCCAGGCTCAAACCAAGCTCGAGTGTGTTCCTTTAATGAGCCAAATTCAAACTCAACAGAATTCGATATGGCTCAGCTCAGTTACAGTGTTAGTTGCCCAAAGAGAAAATTTGGAAGGAGCAAAAAAAAATTGAAGCTAAAAATATTTGATTTCTTCAACCTTCACAGGATTGACAATTTGATTTTATTTGCTTCTGTTTTTGACAACAATCCACTTCAATTAACTTACCGTGTAAGAATAAAGAAATAGAAAGACAAAGGGACAAAAGGCAATCAGACTAGAGTAGTTACAACAAGTAATTCCACATTTTACACCTTGTATTCTTCAAAGGAGAAATTGGTTCCATAGAACCTACAACTGTGACCAAACCAGATCAACAGGAAAACTCAACATCCAAATCCCATCACCTCGACCTCAACAATTTTTACCTTTACAAACACTCTTATCTTAAGAATTATCGCAAAGCTGTCACATTTACAAATTGCAAAACACACAATCCAAATTGTGCAATGAACAAATTTAAGTATTTTATCAAAATGTAGTCTTTTTCCAGCAAAAATACGTCAGCAAGCTAGCAGTCAATATTTACAGACAGGCCTGCACCCCTTTGAAATGACCAAACCGTGCAGTTAATGAACTCAACTTGGACTTCACATAGAAGAGATGTTTTTTATCACCACCTGCTGTAGCATAAAATTAATGACAACGGTGAGAGTGAAACCACTAAAATTAAAGAACATAAAGATGATAAAGACTACCAATTTATCTATGGCGTCTTAGAAGACGTCTTATTCTGCTTGTAGCTCATCTATGCAGCTTAGATTAACTCTTCCAGAAAGCAAGCTTATACAGTAGCTTGTCGATAAATTCTGTTTATGATCAATGACATCAAATCAACTTTTATTTTTTTTACTTCAATATATTGTTACATTAAATTAAATTTTGAAAAGCATAATGATGAATGCTTTGTATAACATTCATTGATTGGTTCACTTCAGAACAGCAATATGAGAAAAGCAGCTGAATATATTATTCTTCAAATACTTAAAAAGTAAAAAGTGGATATTTTGTCCAAGGTTCATAGGTTGACTCAACATACCAACAGGAAAAAAGCAGTTGACATATTAATGTTCGAATAGTTTCTAAACATATTAACAAAAAAAAAATAGCACTAAAACAAATCCAAAGTATTGAATTATGCTCGATTAGGAAAATTGCTTAATCTAGCATTAATGCTTTGATTTTCAAATTCTAAGTGCATAAACTTACCAATTCTAACTGAATTATCAATAAGCATGCTCTTGTTATTACTCTATATACGAGTTCAGTGTCGCACAAGAATAACAAACTTTAGCTAAAACAGAAATGAGGAAAGATATCTATAATGGAAAGAAAAAGCAAGAGTAAAACCTCTGTACTTGAACTGGTCCTGTTTTTTGATGTGAATTATGACTATAATTTGATTCCCTCTACTGAATTAGTCTCATCTCCAGGAGTAGAATCTCCCATCCTAGCTTCAGTAATGGAATTTTGTGCAGATTCTCTTACTTCAGGTTCAGAATTGAAACTGTGTGTAGATTCTCTTACTTCGAATTCAGAATTAGAGCTTTGTACAGATTCTCTTACTTCAGCTGCAACACTACATCTTTCCACAGACTTTCTCACTTCATCAACGGCATTAGAACCTTCCACAGTTTCTGTTGAGCTTGATGCAGATTCTATTTCTGCCTCTCTAACATTTGAACCTTGTACAGATTCTCTTAATTCATCTCCAACAATAGACATATGCAATAAATCCTTTGCATCTTGCTCACCAGGAATAAATGGGTCAAAAGAAGGTTTTTCTTCTTCCTCCTTTGTCTTTAAATTATCGTCTGAATCATCATCATAGTCCAAATTGCGCAAAATTTCTGGAAGGGAATAATTACTGTCTTCTGCAAGCTTAGCTCCCATTTCGATGTCAATTTTCTCTTTTGAGTCCACAAATCCATCCCCAAGGTTCGGCATTACAGATCCAGGCACCATGTCTTCACCGTCCTCCACAAATGATCGGAATTTATTCATTGAAGGTGGAATCTTGGTAAAAAATACTTCTCTAAAGTTTCTTATCATCCCCTTGTTATATGGATTCTCCTTCTTATCATATCGGTAGCGGAAATTCTCATAAGTGGTCTGCATCAGGACAAGAATCAGAATTAGTTAAAAAGAATTCTAACAAAGAAATAGTTAAGAATTGTTCCTTGTTCTCAGAGGAAAATAAAGAGTGCTAATGCAGGTGATGTTGCCAAATAAGACAAACAAATGGATACCTAATGGACACCCCCCCCCCCTTGCCCAAAGTATAAGACAAACAAATGGGATAACCTAATGGACAGTCCGGTCGCCCCTCGTCCCCCAAAACAAAAAAAAAAAAAAAAAACTCGGATCTATACAAAGTTAACCTGCTGTCTAAAGTGAGGAATCCAACTGCAAAAATCAATTAACATCAAGCGCATAAAAAACTATTTTGGAACACAGATAATATCTTGTATCTGATTAACTGTAGACTTAGAAGGCTCAAAATTTGGCTCATGGAACACTGTGGGCATCTAGGACAATAGTGTGATGTTTATATATGTGGATAATAGATAATAAATCATGAAGCATACTAGTTATGCAATCAAAGGAGTTTCACTTTTGAGCAGCACTGCGAAATGAGGATTTCAAATAGTCCAGCCTATTGTTTAGATATTGTGAAAACCTTAGGAGCTTCCAATGTAGGAAAAGGTGAAATCCAAAATAGTAATGTGCAATCGGAATTAAACCATTCAAGCAATCAAGAACTTAAGTCCATACGATTTGACAAAAGAGAATCATGAACTATTATTGCAGTGACCATAAATATTAGATTAGGATTAATCTATTCCTAAGGATAAATACCACACTAAAAGAGAATTTTTCCAACTATGTTAAGATAGGAATGTTGTAGTCACACACAAGATTAGGAACATTATTCACGAAAGGACTAACCATTCCAATGCAAGGATGTAGATGATAGCGACAAGTTGAGAATTAAAATGGAATAAAGGATGTCTTAGAATGTATTGCACGTCATGATCCCCTTATGAAGTAACACGCATGTGCTTACAGAGTTCAATAAAGTGTCCCAGAGATATTCGAAATGGCAGATCGTGCGAAAAAAAAAAAAAAAAAAAAAAACTCGAGACAAAAGTATATGGCTGTCAAGATCCAAGCAAAAGCAAAACATCACGCATAAAAAACCTAGTTTGGACAATAATATGTAATGATTAAGTAGACTATAGGGCTCAAAATTTGTATGGAATGGGGCTGGACAATTGAGGTTATTTGTGTATCGTATAAAATAACAACTAGTATCAATCAAGAGTTCACTTTTGAGCCCTGATGATTTCAATAGTCCCCCTTTTAGATGTGAAACTTAGGGCTTCCAATGTAGGAAAAGGAAATCCAAAATATGTGCATGGATAACCATTAGCAATCAAGAAACTTAGTCCTATAATTGACAAAAGAGAATCATGAACTATTACTCAAGTCTAAATATTAAGTTAGGGTTATCTATTCCAAGGATATCCCATAAGAGAATTTTTCCAATGTTAAGATGGATGTGTAGTCACACAAGATTGGACATTATTAGAAAGGACAACATTCAACAAAATGTATGAGTAGCACAAGTTGAGAATAAAATGAAAAAGGATGTCTTAGATGTTTTAGTCATGTCTTATGTAGACACGCATGTGCTCAGTTCATAAGTGTCCAATATTGATGGCAGGACGTGCTGAACAGGAAAGTGCTAGACCTAGAACAACATCGAAGAAAGTTGTTTCAAAAAATCTGCTATTTGCGGAAATCAGTGCGGACTTTGGCTATAAACAGAGCAGAATTGAAACAAATGATTCATATAGTTGACCCCAATTAGTTTGGAATTAAGGCTTAGCAGTTTTGTGTATAACTGTGTATCAATTTGGGACAAGGCAATCAGACTCTAATCCATCATCTTACCTAACCAGGGTTATAACCATATCAACACTTGTTCACCTCACTTAAGACAATCATAAGTTATTATACAACCTAAAATGAGGTAGTACTAGCAGATTACATGATATTTCCACATTATTTCCCAAAAATAACATGAAATGAGGAAAATATGTTTCTTCAGGATCACCTTTATAATTCTGAAAATAATTAAGATGAATTCACAAAGAGAGAAAAAGAAAACATAAGGTCAAAGTTGTTTATGTCCATATCAGTTCCACAGATGAACCATTTATTGGATAAAGAAACAAGTTGTACATTAAAGCAACGTCATATACAAGCACGTCTACACATAATGTGGTTATAGATGCACGCAAACGCACATGAACAAATGTACACGCATAAATCATTAATAGTAGAAACAGAACTTCAGTGCATATCTATCAGTAATATTGTTTTTCTTTTGTTATACATGATTTTAGTTTACAAAATGAAATATTGAAATGAATCCAGCTTCTATAATCTTTCGAGTCATGAATATGATACACCTAATGAGATAACTCCATGGATTTGACACATCAGTAATACACAATTCACCAGTTGGCCAAAGGGGAAAAATAAAAGCCTTTGCTACCATTTAGGAGCTCTTAAGAATCTCACCTGGTTTGTGCAAATCAGATAGGAGTGAAAAATTGTAAGTCCGCCGACAAACCAGACAACTATGAAGCAGTAGACTATGAGAAAATCAGAAAGGATATCTTGCGATATGGCTTTCAAAACATGTTGCTTTCTACTCAGGAGGTGAACCCAAGAAAATACAAAGACATATACACACAAGATAGTTGCTGTTGATATAAACATGAAGAAGAACCGATAGTTACGCTGCAAGCCACATCAAGATACAGAATATTGTTAGTTCCAGACAAAAATGTAAAAATGTGGGATAATGTTAGCCTAAGTTGTGGTAAAAATTGATGAAAGTCATTTCACTCATTCACAGCATGATCACTATGAATTGATATAAGTTTTGGTCCATGTCTTACCAAGTAATCTACACCATTTACCTTATTTTATGAATATATGAAAATAAGAAATTTGTTGACTTTCAATTGTGCCTTAATTTCATGCTACCTCAAATTTAATTTTACATCTAAATCACTTACTTGGTGGATACTCAAGTAACAGTTGGATGACCAAAACTTAAGAAAAGAAAGGATACATTGTGAGACCATATTTTGCTACAACAATGATGACATGCACAAATGAATATCAGCAATAAATCATGCCATTCCATCAGATCAAATGCCGAAATCTCATCTTGAAAAAGAACATTTTTTTTCTTAATTAGTCCCAAACCAATGACAAAAGTTCTGTAAATACTGAAACAAAATGAAAAGGTACAATATCAATTCAAAATTTCAAATAAAATATAAATCACCGACCCTCCAAAGCACAAACCTTATTAAGATTGCAAATGGAATGTAATAAGACTGGAAATGCATCCAAATTTTGACATCAAAATCTTATCCATGGTCAGGATACAGCTTAAATTTAGAGAAATAATGGAGTAAAAAATTCAATAGAATTAGGAATGAAAAAGAGGTCCAATGTTCCATATCAACAATATGTGAAGTACTAAAGTAAATTTACTTCCATTGATGCACTTTAAGATAGATGCTCATAACATATACAGTGAATAGATCCAAATAGAAAAAAATCAGGAAATTATTTAACATTAACTACATCTTGCTCCAGTTTTTCTGTTGGCAGCTATGGTGCTCAAACTTGAAAACAGGAGTCTAATAAGTTGGCATCCAGCAAAGTATTTTTCTTTCTTATTTTTCCTTCTTGCATCAGGAACATCATGACCAAGTATCCATTTGCATTTAAAGGATGTGAAGAGTAAAGCAACAAAGTTTGGCAGTTGGCCTACTAAAGCAATAATGTCTAATCCATAAATTTTCTTCCCTTAGAAAGATAAATTTGCAATGATAAATAAATGAAGTGAACTTACTATTCCAATGCACTGACCAACCCATGGGCAGTGATGATCAAATCTCTGAACACAGTTGTTGCAAATTGAACAATGGGAAGCACGAGGAGGACGATAAAGCAAACAAGTATCACAATACTTAACTTTCACTGTATGGCCATTTACCATAACATCTTTTGTCTGAGGTAGTTTTAAATGGGGAGTTCTGCCATTGACCCATTCCATAGAAGGCGTAGCCATATCCAATGCTTCATCTGATTCAGGAGGTCGTGAATTTCTACAGACTATTCCAGGATCTCTACTGGAGGTCAGGAAGAGAAACGATAAATCCTGTGGGGAAAATTGAGTTTAGCATCAAAGCAATTCAATATACAAGAATAAGCATCTATTAAAAGCAAATGAAATTTTCCGAGCAATAAATTCTTATATAACTAGCAATTAAGGTACGAAGAAAAGGAACACGCAATACAAATGAACACGAAATAATTCACCTCTAGTTTTCAGAATAACAGCCAGCTACAATGCATGTCAATGAATGTTTAAGGTATGAAGAAAATGTCCACAAAATGAGCATAGTACACATAAAATTACTAAGATAAACGTGTGGAAACACAAACATGACCAAATAAGTACTGAATCCATTCACAGAAAGGTCGAAAAGGAAACCCTTTGACTATATGTTTTAGGGGAGTAATTGAGATGGTTTGCCAGATTTCATTTGCAGATGCATTACATAATATGGATATGGAGCATATCTAATTTATAATAGTGGGGCGGACAAAAGGTAGAAAAGGGTCACCTGGAGCAAAGTGGTTAAAAAGATTTTAGCATCATTGAGGCTTCCTATAAATGTAACCCTAAGATATATAAATAAATAAAGAAGAATCCAATTAGTAATCAACACCAATTCAGGTTAATGCTGAGCAGATTCAGATTGATTTTCATAATATGATATAAGTTCAAAAGTACAATGAGCAGTTAAAACATGTCACATTTGAACCTAATCCTAATCTTGCTAATTAATCATAATAGGTTTAGTGCTACAAAGTGAAATCATCACATGCACATCATATCTTTTCATTTCTGAATTCCCACACCTTGGTCATGCCATGACTATTCTGAAAAAAGGTCCATTATTTGATCTTACACATTGTGATAATACATCTCAAACAACCCATTTGAATGCTTTAAAAATTTTGCATGGCTTTAGGAATGTTTCATGTCAAATCTGTAGCATGTACATATAGAGATCGTTTAGATTAGAAATGGCCTCTTAGGAAACATTTCAATCAATTGCTGTGCATCCTTTTATCTTTCACAAGATATAATCTTGCCAATTGATACTGCTGTGCAAGGCCAGACTAAAATGTAATACTTACTAATATAGTGAGGATGGATCCCACAATTAACACAGGATACCAATGATCAGGATGTTTGGTATCTTTGTCCACGATCTTCAAGTAGGTTTTTATACAAAATGCAATTGCAGGACCAGCAATAAGAAGTGTAGATAGAAACATAGATGCCACATCAGGACCAAATATCAATCTCCCACCACAAAAAAATCTCTGGCAAAACCAAAAAAATAAACATTAAGCTTCTCAGTGAAAGGATTTCAAACTACCAAGGAATTGTCAAGAATACAATATCATCTACATCCAGATGTATGTCAGCTAGATCATAAAACCAAACAAATGACAAACTGCAGAATTCCTGAAGAGCAAGCAACCTCTAAGGCTAGTAATGTTAACTAACTATTGTATTTTCAGCTCAGCAATAAATGATATAAATATTAAGGACAATTAAAATTGAAGAACTAATAGCTAGATAGTTTCCCGTAAAATACATCAGAATAAGAAACTGCAATTACACTGAAAATTACATTGCCCACTTGATATTAGCAAAATTTTGAATTTAAATTATAACTGTGTGTGAGGGATCACAGAAAAAATGTAGACATGATAAGGGAACTTGCACGGTTTAAAATCAATATTGCTGCAGCCATCTGAAATTTTAATATTTTACATTATAATAGTTTTGTTTGATCCACAAGTATATTCATGATATGAATAATTTTATACAATTGTTTATCTCAGCTTTAATATTTTTTTTTCCTTTTTTATTTTGGTTAATTAGGCTTCAACTGGGTTTTGAACTCATAACCTTACAAGCCCCAGAAGACAACAGAAAATATAATGTACTAGACTAATGGAAGATATATATATATATTGCCTGCAGCCATCTGAAATTTTAGATAATTTTACATTATAAAGTTTTTTTGTTTGATCCACAAGTAATATTGGCCAATGATTAGAATAATTTTAATACAATTGTCTTATCTCACTTCATATTTTTTTTTCCTTTTTTATTTTGGTTAATTAGGGCTTCAACTGGGTTTTTGAACTCATAACCTTAACAGCCCCAAAACAAAGAAAAATATACTTAGTCACACCTAGACTAAGGAAAGATATATATATATATAAATATAAGTATATATACTAGTATATTATATGTATAATTGCTCTAAAGCACAGCATTATGTCAACAAAATAAATGATATTGCCTAGTCTTGGAAGAACGTTTGATAAATAAACATATTCTTGTCAGTATGTCCCTAACGCAGACTGACAAAAAGATATACACTTCGTCCGGATAAATAATGTAAACCCACAACAGCCATAAGTCTAAATATCAAATTTCATATATGTATATTGCCTCTAGAAAGAGTCAGCATTTGTCAACAAAATAAGATGAATGCTAGTTTGAAGAACGTTTGACATGGGTGTAAATAAACACTATTCTTGTCAGTTGTCACTAATCAGACTGCAAGAAAGATGAAAATTGGTCAGTACATAATGTAACCCACACAGCAATAAGTCTAATATCAATTTCAGTTCCGGTTTTCAATTGGTCTTAATTGATATAGCAATCCATGAGTCCAGAGTGTATCTGAAGAGGGTAAGAACAAAGATATCTAACTAAAAGTTTAATTCAAGGAAAAACAAACGCCCATCATCAGGAAAATTGTATTAAAGAAGAAAAATAAATACCCAATAAAATATCTTTTAAAAACAAAACGAAAAACAAAAATATCCAGTTTGATCCATGATAAAAAAAAGTTCAAACAGTTCCATTACAGAAACAAAAAGGGCCAAGAAACGAGAGAAAGAAAGACTTACATTGCTTCCTTTCCAGACTTGATAGAGTCTCTTGGGTTTATCCTTGGCCACCCCTCGAGACGAAGGAGAAGAAGCCAAATTAGAATTCATTGTTGATAATCCAAAGCAGGACACCTCTTTCTGTGATCTCTCTCAAAAAATATTTAGTTATGCTTCAACGTATACTTGACAACCCAAACGAGTTCATGCCAAAACAAACAATAATCCGAGAGAGATAAGCTGTGAAAAGATAAACAGAGAAAGATTGAGAGAGATAGGGGTTTGAGGATCAAAGAAGCAGCAGAGACTCTCTACTCGACCAAAAAACGAAAGAAAAAACGAATAAATGAATAAATATGAAGCAAAATCCGAGAGAAGGCGGATTATACCAAGACGCTGATTCTCTATTTTGTAAAAAAAAAAAAAAAAAAAATTCATCTCTGTCTGTCTGTCCGTCCATTGGAATTTGTTTTATTTTCTTTCTTTTTTTTTTTGTGGAAAAATTAATAATAATAATAATAATAATAATCTGTGAAACGCTGGCATGGCGTTGCCAGACGATGAGTTTGGTTTGGGCGGATGTTTCCATTTCTGGCGGGCCTCTCTGCTGTAATAAGTTTTTCTTTTTATTTTCTGTAAATTATACGAAAGACCCAACTTTTTGTGATAATTTCAGTCAACGCCCTATTTAAATTTAATGTTGCAATTACGCACTCATCCCACACTCAGTCCAATTCGAAACTGAAACCATGTTGGAAGACTGAAATTGGCTCGATAGTATTTGATTTTAAATTAGATTAAAGTCAATTGTTAATAAACTAGTTTGATTTTTAATTTTTAAACTAAAATTAGTTAAAATCATTTGATATCAACCACCGACCGATCCGAGCCTCTATTAACTCTATTATCCCTTTTTATGTGATGTTATTTATTAATATTTCATTTTATTATTTGTTTTTTCTCTTGATGAATTAAAATTTACTTATAAATAAAAAAATAACCCACCTCTCTCACACAAATACTTATTTTTGTCATTTCTCCTCCATGCTAACAACGGTTTTCATTTGTATATGCAAAATATTAATTTAATATATAGTTAATATATCTTTTAGAATAATAAATTTTATATTTTACAAATATTTAATCTCTCTAATTTTACAAGTTGAAATATTTATTAGACAGACATTGAAGTAAATATAAATTGAAGTGTTTAATTAGTTAAACTAAAAGTTGAAAGTGTCAAAAAAAATTTTTGTGAGTTACATGGATTAGTTTATATATTTAACTTGATTGTGTTACATTGCATTTATGATCTTTCCAGTATTCCCTTTCAGAAGAAGGTAGTCTTTATAATTTTCTATTCTATCACTATATAAAAAAAATGCACTATAATTACCATTAATCAAATTTTGAAAAAAAAAAAAAACATCATTCAGTAACTTTCAAATATAGATCATTAATATTTAATGTAAATAAAAGTATTTTATTATGAAAAAATTAAGTAAAAAAATTATGACCAAACCATATTAACTATGTTTTCTTTTTTTTCTTTTTTTTTTGTTTAAATATAATTCATTAATAATAATATTAAGAATTTTAAATAAGCTTATAGACTATACCTAGAACTTTTCTATTAGTAATTGAGTGAAACTAAAACTAAAAAATATAATATTATATTTTTTGTTTGGAGTTAATCTGATAAAAGATATAAATCTTCATAGCAGTAACTAGTGTTTTAATTGATTTTGATGTCAAAATAATAACTTATCCAGATATTCTATAACTGGATTTTTTTTAAATAATTTGCAGCATATGACGAATACAGATGCGTTTCTGCTGCTATGCGTCAATAGCATCAATGGAGAAATATGCCGCACTACCATGCTCTACTAATCGAAGATCTACACATGCAAATTAAGATCTAAATTAAGCTAGATTAAAAGACAGCAAAAATATTGGTGAAGAAATATTGGAAAAAAAAAGCTTAAAGATAAGACCGGAGAGTTAGAACTTCATTGGTATTTTTTAATTGCGAATTCCTGGTGAGAAGAATTCTTGAAATTTGATCACGTCAAAAATATTTTTCCTCTTTAGTTCGATCATTTCATACTACCTAGATTCGGTGAATTTAATTAATAAGAGTTATCAAAACGATAAAAATATTATTATATCCATTCTATAATACTTATTACATTTATGGTTTAAAGAAGTAATAAATATATTTTCGATATTTACTCTTTATTTAAGATTAATAATTATTATTCTAATTTAATTTTTTTAAAGAATTAATATTAAATTAAGGATAATATAGTCATTTTACTGAATAATTTATTATAATTTAAACTATGTTTCATAATACTTGTCACATTTGGAATGTCACATTTGGAATTTCATATCTCTTAAAAATCCAATTAAATTTGTCTAAGTTACAATAAATTATTTGAGTAAATTGACTATATTATTTTTAATTTCATACTAATTCTCTAAGAAAAATTAAATTAGAGTAATAATTAATTGTCATATACAAATGGTAAATATGTAAAAAAAAAATTATTCTTTATTGAAACAACAAATGTAACAAGTATTATGGAATGAAAGTATTATTATTATATATTATCTATAATGTTATTCAGATTGATTTGAATTTAAATAATTTGCGTAAAAAAAAATGGGCAACTTAGGGAGTTAATTGTGATTTTAGATATAAAAGGGTCAGAATTAAAACTATGTCCAAAGGTTGGAGGTTTTTCATAATTAATTATTTTCAATAACAGTTGTTGTTATTACAATAATATATCAATTTTGAAAAAAGAAAAACATGAGGTTGCCGATGTTATAATTTATAATCAAGAAAAGGAGCGGAGAAGTCTTAGAGCAGTCCAACTAACTAACCGAAGAGCCAACGTGACGGCACACACGCAACCCACTTCTGCTCTCTTAGAATCGGCTCCACGTGTTACCCACCTCTACTTCAAATCTCTCATTTCATTTAATAAGTATTAAAAAATTGTTAAAACAATTTTAATTTAAATATTTGTTTTTTTTGGTATTGTCAATGCTAAGCCAAGCCCCCGAACCAAAAAGCAACTAACATAAATTCATCGATCAGCGTTATGACTTTAACCTTCTCATATCTTTAAGTTTTATTTTTATCTATTAAACACTTTAACTTATAAAATTAAATATAACCACCAGTTCAGTTTTAATCTATATCGAACTGAATCAAACTGTACTGTAGATAAACTGGAACCGGCGGTTCAAAATTTTGAACCGAAATCGATGGTCCAAAATTTTGAACAGAAATCGACAGTCCAAGGGCCGGTTAAGATTCATGTGAATGTTAAAAAAAGAACCTGAATCAGCTTGGAACCGGCGGTTCCGGTCCGGTTCAAACAGGATGCACAAACAAAATCATTTGTAGCTTAAAATTTTTTATAAAAAAATTTATATCACTTGATTTGATTGCAGTTGATTTGATTTATGGTGAAGAGAACTACACAATGGTACATAATTTATAAAAAATAGTGAAAAAAAGTACATATGATTTGATTTAATTTGTATAAAAAATGTACATGAATAGTTGATTTGTAAAAAAAAATAATAATTTTATGTGTACAAAAAAAAGGGTACAAACGGCTAGTTGAGAACTTGAGACGACTTTTAATTTTTTTATTTTTGGTAAATAAATTTTATTCATTTTTAATCAATTATTTATTTATTTATTATAATTTACTAATAATCAATTATTTATTTATTTATTATAATTTACTAAATTATCCAAAAATGTAGTTGTTATTTTTCTGTTATAAGAGACAATTTGGAAAACTAAAAAGTGAAAAATATGTATAAATATGATGAGTTGATGATTTTTTTCACAACCAATTATGTCATAACTCTCCTTTTATTCTCGATCAAAATTCTCTCAAAATTACATAGTTCATTATTTTTTCTATTGCTTTATTTTTCTTAATATTGAAATTATCTTTTGTTTATTTTTTATTTTCATACATCCAATTCTAATTCTTTCTAATCTCAATTTTTCCATTCATAAATTTACTTCATTTGATTTTTTTAATAATTTTCTTAGTATTTCAAAATAATAATTTCCAACTCATTCCATTAATTTCATATTCCATTTATTCATTTTTTTCCATAGTTCCATTTAAAAACATGGCACACAATTCACAAAACTCCAAGGGAATGCGAGTTGCTCAAAGCGTGGAAGAAATTGATTCAAACGATCTATTAATTGATTTTTCACCACAATTTAATGATGAAGTTCAATATCAAACTCTAGTTGAAGAACGTTATATTCGTCGTCATCCACTACAAGAAGAAGCAACATCTCCTAATATTTCAATAGGTAAACCACCAAAATCATATATTTTCAAGAACCACTTTGCAAAAATTGTTCAAGATAACGGAGAAATCAATGCGGTTCGATGTGATTATTGTAAAAAGAATATGCATTCTTTTGATTAGAGGAGGCTATGGCACTCTCAATATGCATTTAAAATCACATCATGCAAGTGAGGTAGGAGTGGATGTAACTCAAACTCAATTATCGTCATCAAGATATGGTGATCCTAACACTCCTCTATTTAAAATATAGTGATGAAACTAATGAAATTGAAATGACTAAAATGGTTTGTATGGAACGATTATCTTTTTAATTTGGTGAAAAAATTAGATTTAATAATTATTGTAAAAAAGCATTAAATCCTTTAGCAAAAAAGATACCTAGGAATACACTTAAAAGGATTATCTTATCTATTTATTTGAAAGAAAAAGAAATTTAAAAAAATGTATTTGCAAATTTTAATGGTAAAATTGCTATTTGTTGTGATATTTGGTGTGATGCTTGGCAAACTCATTCTTATGCTTGGCAAACTCATTCTTATATGGGTGTTACTTCCCATTATGATAATTAATGGAAAATTCCAAAAAAAAAGGAAATTAATTGCACTTAGAGTTTTGATGACTCTCACAAACCGCCCATAATATTTACCATGTAAATATTATTTAAGAAGACAATTATGGTTTGAATAAAAAAATTTTACAAAATTGTTTTGAATAATGCTAGTGCAATATATGGCATCAATAAATGAATTTAAAAACTCTTGTCAACCTATAATTTGGTGGACATTTTTTCAAACAATATAATGTGCATGTCATAGTTTTAAAATTACATGTTTTCAAGATGCATTAACAACATTAAATGTATTTTTACCGTCCAAGTAAAAAATGCTTTAAAATCATTTAATGGACAACATGCGATATGTGAAAAAAGAATTTTATTTTTGTCACTCTATGAAGAAAAAATATAAAAAATTTCAACATTGATATTCCTATAAGGTGAATTCAACTTGTGAAAATGTTAAATGATCTTATGAATTAAAAAGATATTCTTTCTTCATTTATGCAATTTGCATGCAATCACATTTTCAATTTATCCAACAATTGGACTAATTGTAAAAAAAATATTAGATATTTTGCCAAGTTTTTGGAAAAATTGTACAAAGAATTTTTAGTGGTGTTATTATCCTAAACTTTCCCATTTATTCCCCATTTCATTGGGTT